CGAATATAGACTTGTAATGTAAACAATTACGATCAATGGAGTAATCCAACCAAAACCCCATTACAATCCTTGCAAGGAACCACATTTAGATTTTCTTATACTTCAAACCAATAAGAGAAGTAAATATGAAGTTTTACAAGTTCGGCAGAGATATATACTCCTCCGATCTTTAATATAAGACATATTTAACTAATTTGATTAGATTGAGAAAATTAGGTAAGTTAGTTAATTATAAAAAATATAATATGGTTTTTCTAAAACACCATAATTATTTTTCTTAATATCCTTCTTCTCTCGCTTACTTGATTATGATTGAATGAGCGTCTATAGAAGTAATTCAGAAAAAACTGATAAATATGATAAATAAATCTTATAATTAAAATCAAAATTAACTTAACAATTAGGTTCTATCTTAAGGATAAGAGTAGTACTCAACTACATACATATTTTGTCCCATACACAATTTGAAGAATGAGTTTTCACTACGGCTTGGCTAGCTATGTATTGATAATTATTGATATATCTGATCATTTATTATTCAAATTAGGCTGGTTGCACCATAGCACCTATAGTTTGTATATTAAAAAAGAGCCATAGAATCCACTCCTCCAGTTAAGGACAAAACCTTAAGTCCAGAAAATAAAAGATGACAAAGATTACCATATATAAACAATCTAAAGTAGAGGAGAAAAAATGAGGATTCAATATCCGAGAGTTAACTAGTGTGGAGAATTCTAAGAATCAGAATCGGATTGAGGAGTCTCATCAGAAGAATTTCTCTTGGGAGAAGAAGTTGCTGATTCATTCTTCATAATTAACTTCTGTAAGCCAGGTTTCAATTCAGAGTTACAAAACTGTTCATACTCTGTTTTATCCCCTGCTTTCTTCTTCACTTCCACCACCACCAACGACGGAGTCAGCTCGAATATCTCAGCAGCAATCGTCAGTGGCCCCTTCACACCTTCCCTTGATCCCTCCGAGCTCACCCTGCAATCCTTCTTCCTCACTGTAAAGCTCACCAACTGCGCAATTTCCTCCAACTTCGATGTGATCTTTGACACTGGCGCGCTGGACACGAGCGTCGCCCCGTCCCCTTTCTCCTCGAACAACCCAGAAAGATCGAAGCCTGCAGAGAATGATATTATATCAAATGCATTCAAGCTTGCTGGTCTTGGCAATGAAGCGTTGCTTCTTCTTTTGACGTCTAGCTCTGAATAGGATTCTGATACTGAATAATCTGAGATTAGCCTATGTCGTCCTTGTTTAAATCCAGTTTGTCAATATCTTCAATGCTGGTAGCTTATCGTCGTCGAAATAAAACTTGATTTGTTTGATCCCTTTCTTGAACCACTTGTTTTCCATGATTTTTGGAATTGAGATTCTAGTTTCTGGGTTTGTATCGAGAAGACGAGTGCATAATAAGTTTAGCTCCGGCGAGAACCACTTGGGACACCGGAAAACTCCTCTGTAAATCTTCTTGTACATAGACATAACATTCTGATCATGGAATGGTAAATAACCTGCCATTAAAACGAAGAGAATAACGCCACAAGACCAGAGATCAACTGTGGCTCCGTCGTATCCTTTTCTTGCCAGAACCTCAGGAGCAACATACGCAGGCGTTCCACAGAAAGTATGAAACAATCTGTCTTGTCTGATTTGATCGGAGACAGTGCTGAGGCCGAAATCGGAAACCTTGAGATCGCCATTTTCGTCGAGTAACAGGTTTTCCGGCTTGAGATTGCGGTGGTACACGCCTTTGGCCTGGCAAAATTCTACGGCGGAGATCATTTGCTGGAAATACTTTCTGGCGACTCCTTCCTTCAATCGGCCTTTTGCGACTTTATTGAATAACTCGCCGCCGCGGACGTATTCCATGACGAAGTAGATCTTCATCTTCGTGGCCATGACTTCGAAGAGCTGGACGATGTTGGGGTGGCGGACGCGGCGGAGCATTGAGATAGCCGCCTTTGAGTATTTTCTCCTTGTCGATGATCTTAATTGCGACGTCTTCGTTGGTTTTAATGTTCCGAGCGTAGTAAACCTTCACGAAGGTGCCATGTCCTAGGAGTTTTCCGACTTCATAGCGGCCAAGTAAATGATTGGCGTCATTCTTCTTCTTCGTCCGATTGAGGCCGCTGTTCGAAACGTCGACGTCTGCCATGGATGCTGTGGTGAAGAACGTAGAAGCTGCAGTATTATGGTGGTGAAGAACGTAGAAGCTGCAGTATTATGGTGGTGAAGAACGTAGAAGCTGCAGTATTATGGTTGTTCTGTTTTTCTGGTTTAGGTTTGGGCGTCGACGTGCTTCTCGGCCATTGAAGGTGGTGATGATGTGAGCTGTTTGGCGGCGAAGATGTGGTTTTGATTTGTTGAGGTCTGTTTGTGTGTGTGTGTGTGTGTATCTGCGGGGTTGGTTAGGCTAAATAAATTTTTGTGTGATAATTTTAAATTTTATTTTGATTTAATTTCAATGTGATAACTTTATTTTAATTTTAATTTTATTTTTTTAACTTATTTAACTCTAATTTTAGAGTAGTTTTTCATTTTTTTTAAAAAACTAATTAATCTGATTTTGATGTTTAAAATATTTAAATAATTTTTCAAACAATGTTGAATCAGAACAAATACGCAACATATGTTTAGTCAATCAAAATCCAATCCTGTAGATTGCTTTTGTTTATTTGCATTGACATAAATCTCTTAATTCAATACTGAGAGCAAAATAATTCAAACGTGCAGTTGAATTTGAAGCTTTTAACATACCTCTCATGAATTAAACTGAATTTTTTGAAAATTATAACCTGCGAATGCAATTTGATTTTCCTTATATATATATATATATATATATATATAAAGATTAATGATGATATTATCAGCCTATGAGGTTAGCTTGAATCAAAACCAAGTTCCTTTATTATTCTATTGATGCACTAAGAGAATCAATTATTTTACTTCTCACATGCCAATCTCAGAGTAACTTACCGGTAAATTACTAAATTGAAATGAAGATTGAATAGAGTATGTGCCAAAAACAAAAGAGAGGAGAAAAAGAAAGGTCAAATTAAAGATTTGAGATCCAAGGATGAGGTATAAAATAGAATATTAAAAGCATAGTTGGTTTGAGTAACAACTTAATTAGCTCCACGTTTATAGGGTTGGCATGTAACTGGAAGTGGAATATCATAAGGGAACTAGTGACCGCGGCTACCGTACGGTCGTCGCCCCAGCAGGAAGCACTCCCATCTACGACCCAAGAATTGGGGATGTATGTATATGTATTTACCCGTATATTATATTCAAAAAGTATAGCTTACCCCATACTTTATTCAAGGGAAGCCACGCTCTAGTTTGACAATCTTTCTTTTTGAATAACAAAATTAAAACCACAGTTAGGATGGTGCGCATAAAATAGGGATTAAGTCAAATCAGAGATTAATAAATCCCTATATGCCAAGGGATATGGTTATTTAAAATCGTAAAATTCAAGCTATAATGGTCTGCTTTATGAGTTAGTTAGTAGGTATTATCTTGTCCAAAGGGGTGATCGAAAGAGACAATCCAATCTCGCATGAGAAGATTCATGCATAATCATATCCAAAAAATGGGGGGAAAAGGGATAAATTCGAAAGTGCTTGTTCTTATGATGATAGCTTTCAAGGAATTGTAGGAAACACTGACTCTCGTAGAAGCTTTTCATTCCAGAAGAGACTGAGGGCCTTCATGCATTTCCAATGGTTCAGCTGCAATTATCTAACTTTCCAAAGGAAGGTTTTGATTATCTCATCATAGGTGAGCCATTTCCACATTTTTGTCCAAATGTCGGGATTGGAAGCGATTTTTTTTTTTAATTTGAATTTTCAGTGCCTTTATAGGCAGAGATTTGATTAAGAAGTTGCCACCAACCAAAGGTCTCCAACAAAGAGCATCATCGTCATCCATCCTCATTCGAATCAGGCAGTTGAACAAGAAATATTTGGCTGATGACATTCATAGAAGGATCGCGGATAATCTTGTTTTAAGTCCCAATCCCTTACTAAATTTTTAAAATTAGTGACTCTGGCATTAAAAATATTGCACCCGCATTAGAACCATATCAAACAAGAGGTTGAGGAAAAAGTGATGACCATCTTGTGAGATATTTATTATTAATATATAACTATTTAAATATTATTAGGATAATTAATAAATATTTCTGAGTGTGACCTGTAGTCATTTTGGGCCCAGTCCAAGATGGGTAATTGACTCAGTTAATTAAAGTTAGTTTCTGATGTTGAAAATAATAGATGGTACACTGAGTCAGGAGCGAAACCCTAATCTCTCTGCTCACTTTCTGAGGGTTCCCCACTGGTGACGGCTACATCCCAGTCGCCATCACTGTGCCTAATCACCAGCTGGAAGATTCCCTGCATTCCTTCTTTCTCTAATTGTATTCTTCAATCCACAGCTTGTCATTATTCAGATCGAGTTCTACATCAAATCAACTGAGCTAATGGCGAGTCTTCCGCTGTAACTCTTTTGAGTATCACATACATATATGTATATAATTTGGATTGTTTGAATAATATATGTATATATGTTGTTTAGCTAACATGTGGTATCAGAGCTTGGTTTCTTGATTCACCTCACCTTACTCTTTTATGATGCTCATTTAAATTTGTTTAATTTTCTACTTCGAAAATTTTAATCATTTTGATAGCATCTTTTGATTTGGTTAATTTAATTTGATCTGGATATTTTATTTTTGATTTTACGGGCTGAATGGGATGGAGGAGAATAATTTTTATTCTCCCGTGAACCATCACCACATTCGAATAAATCCGAAGATCCATTCAAAATCTGCTTTCATTCAGTTTGCAATGAGTTTGAATTTTTTACTCAATCTGTACGTTTTGAGCTTTGAATGGAAAGAAATAAACTTTCATATTGCCTAGGAATCATGGTCACCACCGTGTTGTTTATGTTTATGATTGTAAGAGTTTCAGTTGCGGATTAAGGCGATGGAAGGAGATGAAATTTATCTCTCTGATGAACCTATCGTCGACCTCATTGTCCATGGAGGTCCTGTTTTTCAGTCACTCTTTTCTTTCATCAAAATCAATATCTTGCTTTGATTTTTGCTCAAAATCTTGATTCAAATATGTTCGAATTATGTTTGTTGCTGTTTTGAGAACATTGCACCATCGGAAGAGCCTCAAAACGGCCTCCTTAATGCCAGAAAACGACGAATAGCTCGTCGGAAAGAGACGCCAAGAGTTGCAGAGTCGACGGCTGCAGAACCGAGTTGCATGCGGGTTAGGAGTCGGGTTGACCTAATCCGACTCCATGAGGAAGACAACCTGGGCCCAAAAAAAAACGGTGTCGTTTCTGGTGAAATGAAACTCACCGTTTCATTTATCCTGTAGTGGGTCGGACACGCATTTGGGCCGTGATTTGGGCTTCTGTTTAAAATTTTTTTAAAAAATTTAATGTCGAACTGGGCCAAAAGCTTTGGGCTTTTGTTTTCCAGGTTTTTGTCTCTTTTCTCCCTCTCGGTCTGGGCTTTTATTTTTGGGCCACTTTACATAAAAAAAAAATTGCACAGTTTCAGAACAGTAACATTTTGGGCTCCTTATTGGGCTCGTTTTGCATGGAAATTTATTTTTGGTCTCTGTTTGTTTTCTGGACTTTCGTTTTGGGCCTTAACTTTTTTATTTTGTTTCTGGATTGATTATTTGGGCTCTGTTTGGACTCTTAAGTATGGGCCATTTGGTTTTATTTCTAGAAAATTATTTTGGGCCATTTAATTTGATTTTCCAAAATATGTTTGCACAAAATAAATTAATTTTGCTTTGTAATATGTTTCTTTGAATTCTATTTTATGCTCCATAATTGTTTAAATTGAGGATAATTAATTTCTTCAACATTTTGACATTTGGAACATGTTTACAAAATTTAATTTGTTTTGTTATTTAATTGCCTATTTTGGATAATGTTTTGGGCAATTAAATTAACTATTTGAATTTTGTAAAACTCTTTTGAAGTTGAAATGTATTGAAATTAATTTATTAATTTTTTTTGTGCATAAAATAGGGGGAGAATTTAAATTAAATTATTTAGTTACTTTTGTTAATTAAATTGATTTGTTATATTCTCCATTAAGTTGTGCATATTTGGAATTTAAATACACATTTGTGATATTTGTGATAGCATGCATCTTCTAAGGAGTAGCCACGGCATCCCTAAGTATGTCGCATGCACTAATTAATCACATATGGATTTGAAATATCAATTGTAATTAAATGTGTAATTATGATTTATCTTTGCCCATAGGTAGACATCTCATAATTGCATATTTAATTAGGGTGGGATAGAATGGCCTTGTTATTTTCTAAGTGGCCCACAGGTATTAGAAAATGCAAATGCATTCTAGTTTCATCAATTTGAGATAAATACATGCTATGCTAATGTCTTTGCCCACAGGTAGACATTAGTGATACGTATTTATTACTTGTATGCTTTATTCATTTAAGCATGCATACATGGCACAGTGAATGGTAATTGCCTCAAATTCTAACTTGTGAGCTTGTTTGTTTGTTCATTTATCTGTTTCCAATTTGCAGTTCCGATTGCTACCCCTAGAATCATGACTGATGTGAGCAACAAAATCATTTTAGATGGCAGCACTAACTACGCTAATTGGAGAGATGATGTTTTGCTGCAGCTCGGTTGTATGGACTTGGATTATGCCTTAAGGTATGAAAAGCCTCCTAGACTAGATGATGCCTCAAATGATAAGGAGGCAAAAGAAAGGTATGAATTATGGGAGCGGAGCAACCACTTATCTCTTCTGCTTATACAACAAAGGATCACCAGAAGCATTAGGGGAGCAATCCCTAAATGTGAGACAGCCAAAGGATACCTGGAAGCCTTGGACAAGCAGTTCAAGCCAATAGACAAACAGATGGTTGGTGCCATCATGTCTGAATTATGTGTTATGAGGCTTACAGGTATTGGTGGCGTGAGGCAACATATAATGAAAATGAGAGACCTAGCCTCTTAGCTGAAATCCTTTGAAATGGAACCTACCGAGCAGTTCCTAGTGCAATTGATCTTGAACTCACTTCCTGGTCAATATGATGCTTTCAAGGTCTCGTACAACACACATAAGGAGAAATGGTCAATGGATGAACTGCTGTCCATGTGTGTTCAAGAAGAGACTAGATTGCTGATGAGTGGAAAGGGTGTACAAAAGGAGGCTCATTTAGCAGAAAGTTCCAAGGCTGGCAGCAGAAGGGGAAAGAAAGAAAAGAAGGAGGAAAAGAAAAAGAAGAAAATCCCTGCTGTTTCAGCTGTTAACAAAAGGAATGCTAGATGCTTCTTCTGTAAGAAAAAGGGACACATGAGGGATGAGTGTCTCAAGAGGAAGGCATGGCTAGAAAAGAGAAGTATGTTTTCATCGTGTGTTACTTTTGAATCTAATTTTTCTAGCGTTAATAATGACACTTGGTGGATTGACACTGGTTCAATGATCCACATTTTGACTACCATGCAGGGCTTTCTAACCAACAGGCCTCCACATCCCAATGAGGAAACGGTCCTTTCAAGCAGTGGGAAAGGAGATCCTGTGAAAGCTGTTCGGACTTTTCGCATAATTTTTTCAAATAATCATGTTTTGGATCTTTATGAAGTTTTTTATGTACCCTATTATAAGAGGAATTTGATTTCCATGTCAAGACTGATTCCGTTTGATTACCATTTAGTTCTTTCTAAGAAATTTATGACTTTGTCAAAAGACTCTGTTTTGATTGCGAACTTCGTTATGATTGATATTTTATTTAAAATTGTTTCTGATTCTCCGCAATCTTTTTCTGTTATGCATGGTACTAAAAGAAGTGTCATTGATGAGAATTCTGTTAGCCTGTGGCATAGGAGATTGGGACATATCTCTAGTGAAAGAATCAAAAGGTTAAGTAAAGATGGAATTCTTCCATCTTTAGACCATCCAGAATTTGATTCTTGTATGGACTGCATAAGAGGAAAGCAGACCAACAAGTCACATAAAGGGGCTAAGAGAAGTTCTGAATTGCTAGAAATTATACACACGGATATTTGTTGCCCCGACTTGACTACGCATGGTCAAAAATATTTTATCACCTTTATTGATGATTACTCACGATACATGTATGTCTATATGCTTTATAATAAAAGTGAGGCACTAGATGCCTTTAAAGAATATAAAGCAGAAGTAGAAAAACATATCGGGAAACCAATCAAGATTGTGAGATCAAATCGAGGTGGTAAGTATTATGGCAGGTACACTAGTGAAGGACAAGCACCTGGTCCATTTGCTGAATTTCTTCGAGAGCAAGGTATAGTAGCCCAATATAACATGCCTGGCTCACCTGATATGAATGGTGTAGCTGAAAGAAGAAATAGGACCTTATTAGATATGGTTAAGAGCATGCTGAGTAGCTCTAAACTTCCAACTTCCTTGTGGAAGGAAGCACTCAAGACAGCCACTTACATATTAAACAGGGTTCCAACAAAGGCAGTATCTAAAACACCCTTTGAAATCTGGAAAGGTTGGAAACCCAGTTTAAATCATTTCAGGGTATAGGGTTGTCCTGCTGAAGTAAGAGTGTACAATCCATAGGAAAAGAAACTGGACCCTAAGACCATTAGAGCTTACTTTGTAGGCTCTGTAGAAAGGTCAAAAGGTTATAAGTTTTATTGTCCTCCACCTTCTAAAAGATTTGTAGAATCTAGGAATGCCAAATTTCTTGAGAATGATGTGATTAGTGGGAGTGATTGTTCACAAGACAATCATATAGAGCAAACCACTAACACCAATTATGAGGGACCATCAATAGTTAATGACTCTCCTACTGTTAGAGTTGACATTGAACATGATGTAAATCCTGGAGCTCAAGTTGACAATGCTAGACAAGAGGAACACATACAAGCTGATCAAACTGTCACACAAGTGGAACCCCCACAAAATGTGATAGAGGATGTTCCTAGTCAGTAGCCTGAATCAACCCAAGAGGTTGAATTAAGGAGGTCAACTAGAGAAAAAAGACCGATATTACCAAATGACTACATAGTGTACTCTGCTGAAGTTGACTGTGATGCAAGTGTTGAAAATGATCCATTAACGTTTACTCAGGCCATGAAGAGTGCAAACTCTAAATTGTGGCATGATGCTATGATTGATGAAATGAATTCCATGGCAAACAACCATGTTTGGGAACTTGTAGAGTTGCCTAGTGGGTCTAAGGCCATTGGCTGTAAATGGGTTTACAAAACCAAAAGGGACTCACAGGGCAACATTGATATATACAAGGCTAGGTTGGTTGCTAAGGGTTTCACACAAGTGGAAGGAATTGACTATAGGGAAACTTTTTCACCTGTATCGAAGAAAGATTCATTCTGCATCATCATGGCATTGGTTGCACATTTTGATCTAGAGTTGCACCAAATGGATGTGAAGACTGCATTCCTCAATGGTGAATTGGAGGAAGAAGTCTATATGAAACAACCTGAGGGATTCGTTGCAGAAGGTAAAGAGCAGTTGGTGTGCAAGCTAGAGAAATCAATACATGGTCTGAAACAGGCTTCACGGCAGTGGTACTTAAAGTTCCATAAAGTGATCATGTCATTTGGTTTTGTTGAGAACATCATGGATGACTATATATACCACAAGGCTAGTGGGAGCAGGATCATATTCTTGATTTTGTATGTGGATGACATTTTGCTTGCCACAAATGATCTGGGACTATTGCATGAGGTGAAACAGTTTCTGTTCAAGAGTTTTGACATGAAAGACATGGGTGAGGCATCTTATGTCATTGGCATAAAGATTCATAGAGATAGAACCCAAGGTCTTGTAGGCTTATCTCAAGAAGCTTACATTGGCAAGATTCTTGAATGATTCAGAATGAAAAACTGTTCATCTAACGTAGCTCCTATTGAAAAAGGAGATAAATTTAGTTCAGATCGGTGTCCCAAAATCGAGCTTGAAAGAAAACATATGGAAAAGGTCCCATATGCCTCAGCGGTAGGAAGCTTGATGTATGCACAGGTTTGTACAAGACCTAACATCGCATTTGCTGTGGGTATGTTGGGGAGATATCAAAGTGATCTTGGGGAAGCACATTGGATAGCTGCAAAGAAGGTGTTCAGATACCTACAAGGTACTAAACACTACATGCTCACATATAGAAGAACAGACAATTTGGAAGTAATTGGGTACTCAAATTCAGATCTTAGAGGATGTGTAGATACAAATAAATCTACAACTGGTTACATCTTCCTGTTAGCAGGAGGAGCTATATCATGGAAAAGTGCAAAGCAAACGCTGACAGCTCCTTCTACTGGTGATGCTGAGTACATTGCATGTTTTAAGGCAAGTTCACAAGCAATTTGGATAAAGAATTTCATTGCTGGGCTCAATATTGTGAACTCAATCTGTAGGCCAATAAGAATGTACTGTGATAACGCAGTTGCAGTGGCCATAGTAAATAACAAAAGGAATAAAAGTCAAAGCAAATTTGTTGAACTTAAATTCCTATGCCTGAAAGAAAGAGTTCAGGATGGCCAAGTTTCGGTTGAACGCATCAGTACAAATGATATGCTAGCTGATCCTTTGACGAAAGGGTTGAAACCAAATGTTTTCGTTTCACATGTACCTCACATGGGATTTCGTCCTTCATTTGACTAGTTGAGGTATGAGCAATGAAATCAAATTTATGATTTATCATTTCTTGTTTAAGATTGTATACATTTGTGATATTGAAATTGATAAACATTGAGATAGGAACCGAATAAACATTGAGTTTATTCATAAAGTGGTACCCATTAAGCAAGGATGCTGCTTGTAATACATGGAAGGTAATACTCGATAAAAGAGGACTTACCGCCATGATTCTTGTAGTATGTCCTTAGTTAATCTTGACTGGGCAATGGCATTAAGTATATAGGCCAAGTGGGAGAATGTGAGATATTTATTATTAATATATAACTATTTAGATATTATTAGGATAATTAATAAATATTTCTGAGTATGGCCCGTAGTCATTTTAGGCCCAGTCCGAGATGGGTAATTGACTCAATTAATTAAAGTTAGTTTCTGATAGTGAAAATAATAGATGGTACACTGAGTCAGGAGCGAAACCCTAATCTCTCTGCTCACTTTCTGAGGGTTCCCCACTGGTGACGGCTACAACCCAATCGCCATCACTGTGCCTAATCACCAGCTGGAAGATTCCCTGCATTCCTTCTTTTTCTAATTGTGTTCTTCAATCCACAGCTTGTCATTATTCAGATTGAGTTCTACATCAAATCTTTTTTTGTTTTTGTCAGAACTACATCAAATCAACTGAACTAATGGTGAGAGGTATTTATAAGTCTTCCGCTGTAACTCTTTTGAGTATCACATACATATATGTATATAATCTGGATTGTTTGAATAATATATGTATATATGTTGTTTAGCTAACACATCTATCAAACCATAAAGAAACTTGATTCCTTTTCCCAATCCCTAATCCTAAATTTCCCATGTGAGTTTGTCCCAAGAAGATTCTAGTCCAAGTAAAACTTCAGATGGGCGATGTTTAACAAGGGAATGGTAGGTTTGTTACATTTGTACTTACCCCTTAAAACCTTGACCTATCCGGGTTAGGGAATTTTCATAATGAAAGCAATATTCCAACTTGGAGAATTACTGTGAGATCTAAAATAAAAAAATAATTATCAAAAAGTCCCAATAACAAATGAGAAGTAGTCTTAAAATTTGTAATTACAAATTGCTCAGTTGTTATTAGGACTTTGAGATTTTATTTCCATTTCCTCTTCCAACTTGAGTTTCCTAAGATCAAGGCCAAGTTTGAGAAGCTTTACGCCATAACCCAACATGTATTTAGCTAGTCAAGATTTTCTTAAGATTTTTGCCCCCAAATAATCCTAAGGACTTAGTTTTAGTTTTATCCTCCCATCTATTTATAATACCAAATAAAGATTAAAAAAAAATAAGATGATGAACGTAAAAGAATAAATAAA